AAAAGAAAAGAATAAATTATTGGTATTGGCTCAAAGGGAGCTTTTAGGCCATAGGCAACTTTTCATGTATCGGGCTCACTTTTATGCCCTAGGTGAGGTTAGCATGGAAGAATGAGCATCGGGTGTGCCTGGCCCCTTTACCCTCCTTCAAATCAAGGACCAGGAAAGGCTTTCTTTTGTTCCTGAGAGTGGGGTTTTGGGGAAGAAACCTGCCTTGGAATTCTGCCCTGCCCTACCCAAAGTGCACCTTGTCTTTGTTGTCCAGAGCCGAGATCCGGGGACTTGATGAAGAGCGGCAGATGGAGGAGCCGCGCTCCCTCAGGGCATCCCTGGAATTGGCCACTTCACTCAGCATGTTGTGGCTGCCAGTTTTTCTGAGTCCCAGTCTCCAAGAGGAAGGAGATTCATCTTTAGGCTCTTCTGGCTTGTTAAAAAGACTGGAGGAAAACTATGATGGAAGTAAAGAAAAGGGGAGGGGGAAAGTCCTGAGGATTCTTTTCTGCTTATTTGTCTTTTTCACACCCAGTGGAATTCAGTGAGGCAACTTGAGGCAGGTCACGCAAGTTTCCGTTTCCTCCTTTCTGAATTTCCCTCTCCCTCCCCAAGGGTCCCCATTCTGCCAGCCTTCCCTTCTTCACCTGGCAGGAACGAGTAACCTCTCATGCTCCCTTGTGTGTTCTACACTATGGGGAAAGAGAATATGCTCAAGTTAGTCTCCAAGTACTCACTCTCCTAGCAGAAGAGGCAGAGAAGGTGTTTTGCGCTGGTGTTGGGGTCGGCTCCGGGGGGCTACTCTTGCTTTCAGAGTTGGAGTGGTTGACAACAACTTCTGGCTTTTTATCTGTTATTTAAGACAAAAGAAGCAACACGAACAAGTAGGAAAAATTTATATTTGTGTGTTTATATACTTTTCTGCTAATAAAAAAACCTTTACCCATTATCAAAACAGGTTATTGAGGCCATGGGATGGGATGCTTGGACTCAAACTAAGATGAAATCTCTAGTAATCACTGCCACAAGAAATAAATGCAAGGGCTCTTCCTGGTGGTGCAACAGGCTAACGCACAGCACTATGAAGCTGTCCACAGCCGCTGGAGCATGAGTTTGATCCCCAGCTAGGGAGCTGACCCACGTGGCGCAGCAGACCTCTCTTGTCTCTCCAGTCTTGCCCGCTGCTCCCCTCAGCAGTGTATTTTAGTGGATCTGCCTGCTCTGGTCCCCCCTCTGTCTCTGGTGAATCTTCTCACCTCCTACCTGCACCTCCGGCCTCTACCCCAGTTCTTGTGTGCATAAATAACTAAGTCTAAAAAAAGAAAACAAATTCAGGGGTAACAAATTCAGGTATAGCCTCTAACTCCACTTGGAGATACTTGACTGAAAACTTTTTCCCCTGTTTTAATCTCATGTAAAGTTCACCAGTAACTATACAGTAACAATTGATTCTGTTTTGAGGGACTGGGCAGGCAAAACCAGAAAAAGTGTAAGAGACACCTTGTTTTTCCAGGTGATTACAACTAAGAAAAGAGCCTAAGCAAGCTTATGTAACATGGGCGCTAAACTGGTTCAATCCGATCAAGTGCTTTAGGAGTTCAGAGAAGAGGCACACCCTCTGAGGAAGGGAATATTAAAGATGCCGTAAGGAAGTTGGAAGACAAACACTAGTTGGCAGAGGAAGAAAGGTCCTGAGGATTGGCTGAGGGAACCGGAAGACACATTTGCTGGCCAATGAAGGAGCAGACCTAACTTAACTAATGGGTGTTCTGGGGGACACACTAATAAATAAGGGGAGTCTAAGGGGTTGAATTATCTCTGTAATTAAAGGATTACCAAGGATGTTGCAAGTTAAGCTATAGAATTCTAGTACTTGAATCCTCACAACATAAATAGAAGGGGTCCATCTTCCAGGGCACCAAGCAGAAACCCTGTTGTCTCATTCACTGAGTACATCAAATAACCAGCAGAGAATGTACCTTGTGGGTGTAGGGGGCATCTGGTCTACATACTTTGGGCACAGAGTCCCATAGTGACCCATCCACGAGTTATGTGCCAATTTCAAGCTACATCGTAGCTGTATGACCCTGGCAAGCTACTTAATATATTTAAGCTTCTATTTTCTCATTGACTAGTCAGGGATCTTAATTCTTGCCTTATGAGTTACTATAAATATCAGAGGTAATATTTTAAAATTGTGTCACTATTTTTAATTATAGCTCACTGGTCATAGTTAGTCTCTAGTAAATGTTTTATGATCATTAACGTTCTTATGGTGATTGTGAATATTCATGACATTGTTAAATACTATCTGAAAATCTCTACCCCCAAGAAACCTACCTCACTGACTACTATCACCAATGTGATAGTAATAACTACCAGTGAGCCCACATCCTGTGTAGCGCCCTCTCACATCGACTCTGGACTTGGCAATGTGATTTTTTACGACCCCTAGGACATCAGCAAAAGGGACATAAGCAGAGGCTGGGAAAAAGCTTGTGCATTGAGCTTTGCTTTTGTAATCTGGTTGCCATGTGCTGGTAAAAGACCCAGAGCCGTTGCCACAAATATCCTGGTCAAGCAGCAGAAAGGTGAGTAAGGCATCTAGGACAGCCATTTTCCAGCTGACTTACTAACCGATCACAAATATGTGAGTGTTACCACACACACATTACAATAAGTAGAAAAGAAATGCCTTCTAGGGTGAGCCCTTCCCAAATTGCCAACCTGTTAATTGGGTGCATATAAATAGTTGTCTTAAACCATTACTTAGTTGTGGGAGACTTATTATGCAGCAATAAATAATAGACCAAGTGTTTATGCCAAATAAATAAAAAGGAAAAAACAGAAGTCAAAATCAAAATGATTACATTCACCTTCAAATATAATTAGTGTTCTTTCCCACAACATTTATATGTAAGATACATGGCAGCTTCCATTTTATAGGGCTATCTTGATGGATCTTTAAAAACAGGATAAAAGCATTTAGCAGTACATATGTGCAGGTCAGGCATCCCTGCAAAAGTTTAGATAGAATCCATTTCCCCACATACTACCAGTGTATATGTACTAAGCATCCCCATGCAGAAGGTCTTGTGCTAGACAGTATGGAAGGCAAAGTGAGAAACATGCAATATACTAAAAGTGCTTCCAAGACATGCTGGTGGGGAAGATGTGAAAAAGCAGAAAATGTTAATACTCAGCAGGATGGATACTATGAAAGAGGTTCACACAAATAGGAGGGAAGAACTTCTATGATGATAAGCTTTCATAAAGGAAGTTGACTGGAACTGGGCTTTGGGACATGAATAAAATTTCAACTGGCAGGCAACCATCTGGCTCTCCTGCATCAGGACACCGGAACTACTCTCTGAGATTACCAGTGGTTGCCTAATTGTCAATCCTCCATAATCTCTCCCTTCTCACTCCTGCACTGGCTTCTCTGATGCCAAAATACATGTCCTGATTTCCCCCATCCCTCTGACCATAGTTTCTTTGCCTCCTCCACTAATTCTTTTACTCTTCCTAAACAGTATGCTGCAACCTGTTTTTCTCCTCTTTCCTCTACAATCTCTCCCTTAGGACATGCTCTCCTTACCCACAGTTTTTTAATTTTCACATTTTGCTCTACCCCTGCTACTCTGAGGAGTCCCAGATCAATGTTAGGATCTCAGACGTGCCACTTGTCAATATGGAGCCTACTTTGCCGAACCTCCTACAGTGCCAATTTCCTGTTCAAAAAAGTGGTGGTAATAATACACACCTTAGAGTGAGGTTACAGGGATGTAATTAATGTTTTAAGTGTATAGCAAAGAAAAAAGCGCTAAACAAATGGAAAGTGCAATTAGAGACCCCCCAAACTAAATGTAATCCTTCTCCCTAGACATCACTGTTGACTGCACTGATAGCTCACGGAACATGTATTTTGCTAATGGTTACCTTCCTAGTCCCAAGTTTGCTAGATGTATTCATCAAAAAACATGCGCTGAAAGTGCACCCCTGCATGAGCTGTGCATGTGCCGAGACCTGGGTGCACAATTACGAGCCCAGAGTGCCCTCAACATGATGGGTGCTGGAGCGGGGCAACTGTGCAGAACCAGAGCGACACAGACTGGGGAGAACTGTCACAGGGTGGAGAACAGTGAAATGGTTCTCTACTTTCCAGCGTCTTGTACAGGGAAGTCTTAAGGAAAGACTTTTTCAGCTTGTTAGAGTCTATAGCTCCTAGTAGATGTCACTCAATAAGGATCTGAAGGCCAGACATGAATTCCAAGGCACAAATACACATTTTGGGGTAGGAAAGTTCACGGCATGTTTGGGGAAGTCAAGTAACCCAGCTGTATGTATGTATGCACTGGAAAGGCCAGCTGGAGCTAGATCACAAAAGGTCTGGAAGGACAGGCTATCAGGTTTGGAATTAACGCTGCAGGTAGAGGTGGCATGGAGAAGGTGGTCATCAAAGGTTTCTGAAGAGACGTAAGCCTGATCAAAAAAGGGTGCAGTGTGAGATGAGCTGGAGGGAACCAAGGCCTGGAAGCCCATGGGCACAGATCAGGAGGAAATTATAGTCAGTCAGCTGGGTAGCTCCCTCCCACTTTTCTAATGTCTTGGGGTGAGCCAAACGATCGAGCATAGAGCAAGCCCAGATATTAATTCCATACAATACTTGAGGCCTAGGACAAGCAAGTAATGAATGACAATAAAAATATTAAAAAGATGGACACTTATAAATTTTGATATATACTACACTAGCATTTCCAGAACAAATTCTACTAGCTTAGTAACAGAAATTCAAATCTCAATGAATAAAAGACCATCTCTTATACTACAAACTTGGCTGATGTCTGTCTTCTCTACAGAACTCTGGTCTCTTAACTCCTTTGATGACATTCCATGAGTCTCAGCAACTGGGACATGAAGAAAGGCCGTATTCGCCCATAACTGAGAGAAGACAGGTCAGTAAAGTAAAACCTCACCAGGAGCTGGGGCCCACATAAACAGAATGACCTAAATGTCTTCATTGTGGGTGGCCATGGCAGGCAGTTACAAGAAAACATAGACTGCATTCTGAAATTCATGTGTTCCCTTTGCCCTTCTAACTTGGTCTTCTAGCTGGTAAAATTTCATTTTCTAATGGACTGAAGACAGGGTTACAGTATGTCAAAGAACATGGGACATATGCACCATAAAATCTTCATTTATCATTAATTTCCAATCATTAATGAGAAGTATTCTATTGCAACTGAACCTCTGCTCAGTAAAACCAATGTCTCTTCTCTCAGTGTTTGCCTGATTAAACACCAAGGCCTCTGGTAGTTTTGTAATTTACAGCCTGATCCATGTTACACACCTTGCTCTCATGGTTGGAGTTCCTAACTTGCCATATAATACGTTTAAGCTCCATAGATGTGCATATTATCAATATGAATCATAAAAGCTAATATGATTTTGTTCCTTCTTCAATCTCTGCCTTAGGAATTATAGCAGCTTTACATAATGAAAAGGAATGAAACCGGTTGGGGGCTTCTGTTTAGGGAATCAGATAAACCTGAGAACTAAATACAAATTTTCACTAGTTGGTTAAATAGCTGCTTTGCCAAAAGTGCCTCTGCAAGGTCTCCCCCCCTCCCTCTTGGTATACTGAATTTCTGGAATTTAATCTCTATACCATCTACCAACCCACGGTCACAACAACTGGCTCCCTCATACCAGAATTCTATGTATCTTATCTTATGGACATGTATCACCTGGTACACATTCAAATAGATCTCACAGCTCTTACAATCAAGTTTTAATGAGTAAGCTGATGTCTACTCTTTAAAAACTAAACTTAAAGATCTTTAAGATCTTTGTGGGGTAGGCCCTCTCTGGTGGCGCAGCGGGTTAAAGCACAGCAGTAAGAAGCTAAAGCCACTTCAGCATGAGTCCCTGCCTCGGAGGTGACCGACATAGTGTGACAGACGTCTCCTGACCCTCCTGCTGCTCCCCTCAGCAGTGTGCTTCGTCAGTCAGCCTGTTCTGCTCCCCACTCTCTCTCTCTGTGAATCCTCTCGCTGCCTCTATACCTCTGGCCTGTACCCCAGTTCTGTATGCATCAAGAAATACATCTTTTAAAAAAAATCTTTGTAGGGTGCTCTGAGGCCTGCTTAGCTCTCCAAGGAGCAGTGGTCTGCTCACACCATGGAGATACAGGACTTTGCTATAAAAACTTCACCTTACCTGCCTCCTTCTCAGTTTCTGACTCAGAAGCTTCATCTTCACCTTCCTCCTCTTCTGAGCTAGAGCTGCTGGATTCTTTGTTTTCTTCCTCCACTTCTTGGGATTTAGGTGTCTCCTCTTCATAAAGCATCTTCTCTTTGCTAAATTAGAGGTGACAAATTTGAGAAATTTTTGGAAATTACAGACCATTTTGTAAGTTCACTGATAGTAATAGCAATAATAGAAATGTACTCAAATCCACCTTTATGTTGGCATTTTTCATTGTGTCCATGGGTTTTGAATACTAGGTTCAGTATCTGACTTTAGAAAACCGAATTTATTTTTAAAAGTCATTTAATAAATATTGCTTGAGTGCTTATTACATATAGGACTGATACTAGGTACTAGCATGGTGGTAAACAAAACAGACATGGTCCCTGAGCTCACAGAACTTACAGACAGGGAAGCAGCTGGGACTGAGTACCCCTAACTAGGAAATTTCTAAGTTTAAAATATGTTCACTCATCTTCAGTGTCTCTCACATAGTAATGTCACCTGTTTTCTCCTCAAACATTCCCACTTTTGGCTAACATCAAACATGGTTTCTTTACTATGTAGATTCTCAAGCTAAATACATCACACATCACACATCACACATCCAGATACTGCAAGGCTCATCACAGTCCTCAAGCCCCAAGTATCTTACTTCTTAAAGAGTCCACTCTGCAACTTGTTGTTCAGGTCTGACTCAATGAGCTTATTCCGTGTCTCTTTTTCACTTCGAAGCTGGAAATTAAGCAAATAGAGAAAAGGGAAGAATTTGTTGGTAAAAAATCAGCAGCAATGAGAAGAATTAAAAATGATACTGTCATTCAGAAGAAGATAGCACAGAAAAGGGGAAAGAGGACTGAGAGAAAACAGACACATCAGTATGGCTGCCTTAAAAGATATTGACAGGAAAATATCCTCCCCTAAGTCAGGAGAGAAAAAAACATGGTGTTAGAGCTTCAGTAAAACTGCCCTTATAGCAAATATCCAAACCCAATATTCAAAAAAAAGCCTAGGCTTTTTGGAGATAAAAAAGATAGAAAAACAAAAAGCCAGAAGAACTTCCAAAGAACACTTTGTGATCTATAATATTGAATTCAGCTGGAAAGAGTTCTAAAAAAGATAAAAAAACAAACAAACAAACAAACAAACAAAAAAAACACCCTACTAAATGAGAAATAAGACCTAAGAAAATATTACCTGGTATTTGAATACATGTTCTAGACAAAACATATTCTTATTCCTGGATCTCAAAGTTATGCAGGGGCCAGAGATAAGCACCATTTCCAGTAGCAGAGCAATGTTTTTTAGTGAAGACATTGTTTATGTTAAATAAAAAACATAACAGGGCTATGCTGAATAAAAGATACACAGAACTCTCTTATTCTGTAACTTCTAGGTGAGTATGTGAATTATTTTTGTGTGTGTGTGTGTTTTTTTGTGTGTGTGTGAATTATTTTAAAGTAAAAAGTCTGAAAAAGACCAACAGCTCACCTATGCAAAGTTTAAGTTTTCTATTAGGAAAGATCTTGCTGCTAAGTAACAGCACTGGCACTGTATTGAGAGTCCTAGCATTGATTCCATTTGCTCATCAGAGAAAATAAAATCAACTAGAAATGGCAGCTGAGCTTCACACATGTGACTTTCCCACTGAGTCTGAGTAAGGAGGCTCTTTATGTTGCCAGACATGACGCAGAACACACAGACAGGCACCTGTAGACATGACTGCTTTGTTTCCATCTCTGAGCTATACAGTTTTTTTACTGGATGTTTCTCACATCTGTCCTAAACTTAAATTCACATAAGCCTAGTCACAATCCATATAAAGGAAAAAACAAAGGAAAACCAGTCATTTTTTTCTGTCACACCTGTTCAAATTCTCAAGCTCCTGATATGACTGACCTTTATTCTTTATTGCCATATTACTCAGCCCCTGATGGACAGAAGTGTGAAATACCCATGTTTATCAGTTTAATGGGTGGGTTTCTCCATCCTGCATTCTGGACCAGATACCCTGCTTATATGGTTCTGCTTGATAGCACAAAGCACAGTGTACAGGCAACCACACAATACAAGATTTAGAATAAAGAGGAGGGAAAGAAGAACTGAATTCTGGATGTTTGATGAATCTAGAATACATATGAGTCACCGATCAAGTATGGTCCAATACCCAATGTGGATCTTTTCACTTTTAAAGAAAGAAATGCATCCCCTTCTTTAATCAACTTACTTTGCATAATGCTGTCTTTTTGGGCAATAAAGAAAAAAAGTTAAGATGTACCCTACCTTGGTACTCTCTTATGAAAAAACAACAACACTCTAATTTGAACATAATGGCATTTTTTTCTTGAACTCGGGTATAATTATTAGTTTGTTAGTATTGTTTTAGAAAACTTTTAGTTGTTTGAAGTCTAGCTTATAACGAGTCAACTTTAACAACAATGGGGTTCCTGGAGTATTTTCATCTAACAGACTGTAGATAGTCTCTGAAAGAAACAATTACCACCTCTGGAATGCAGATGTGTCTATTTCAGCTATCAGCAGACATAACTGGAACAAGGGACTGAGACATGCTCTGGACCACAGACTTACAAAGCTTTAAAGGCATTAACTAGATACTCACCACATTCTGTTTCTTCTGGAGCATCTCCAAGTGCTCCACAAGGCCCTCATCGGCCACATCAAATGGTGTCTGTCCCTGGCAAAGACAATGGGACCGCGATCAATAGGGAGCAAAAGTGCTGATCGTGTACTTCATATTTATTCAATATTCATGTTACGCGTTTGATTCCCATGATAGCTGCTTCCCCTAATTAGTCTACTTTTGATAATGCCTTCCTTTATCATAAAGGAACCATAATAAAAAGTAGAAAATCCTTTAAACAGTTTTATATTTTGTTGAACATTATGTGGAAATTGCATTTCCGTTTTCTCTTCTAAATACACTATTTGATTTCTTTCCTTAGGTCTAATAGTTCCCTTAGTTTCCCACCACCACCACAAATCCTCCCCATAGTCCCTTGTGCTTTTCCCTCCTTTATTTGGGTCCCTCTCCTTCCCCACGCCCTACTGTAAGCTCAAATCTATGGCCAGCTTGCTAGTTTTGTGTTTTTCCTCTGACTTACGTCACTTAGCATTACCCCCTTCCATCTCCATGGATATTGCTGCAAATGGCATGGGTTTATCTTTTTTGGGGGGTACAAAATAATCATGACTTTTACTTATTTATTTTTAATACTATTTAATTGATTTGTATATATTTTACATCAGGTGTAGTCCCCACAGCACTTCCACCACCCATTCACCCATAAGCCATCACTGTAGTTCCCTGTGCTCTTCCTGCCTTGTTTTGTACCCTCTTCCTCCCCCTCCCCTGCAGAATGTCTCTGATTTATAGCTGTCTGATTATTTTTATTTGGTTTTGTTGTATTTTTTTAATTGTTATTATTTTTCCCTGATCCCTTATTAAGGTTTTATGTATTCCTCCTATAAGTGAAACCATTTGATTTTTTTTTCTTCTGACTTATTTCACTGAGAATAATCCCTTCTAACTCCATCACATGGTACCATGAATGGCATTGGATTATCTTTTTTATTGCTGCATAATATTCCATTGTGTATATGTACCACATCTTCTTGATCCAGTCATTTACTTTTGGGCATTTTGGTTGTTTCCAAGTCTCATTTGAAGAAGAAATCAAGAAAATCATCCCTTTTATAATTGACCAAAAAAAAAAATATCCAATACTTGGGAGTTTTTCTTTTTTGATTGCTGAATATTATTCCATTGTGTATATACTACATTTTCCTGATCCACTCATCAGTTTTGGGATATTCAGGTTGTTTCCATATCTTGGCTATTTAAATAGTGATACAATAAACACAGTAGTGCATGTTTCTTTTAGAATTAGTGTTTTCTTTGCGTAGATTTCTAGGAATGGATTTCCGGGGGCCCTTGGCGGTTCGGTTTTTGTTTTTTTGGGGAACTTTTCCGTTTTTCTTTGTTGGTTTTCCCAGTTTGCTTTTCCCCGGCGTTGGGTTTTTTTGCCCTTCTTCTTCCTTGGCTTTTTTTGTTGCCGTTTTTTTTTTTGTTTTTTTTTTTTTACGTTGGTTCTTTTCCCCGTTTTAAATTGGGTATATCATTGTTTTGTGTGATGAGATATTATTGTGGTTTTGATTTGCATTTCCCTGATAATTCGTGATATTGAACAGTTTTTCATCTACCTGTTGGCCACTGAGTTTCTTCTTTGGAGAGGTGTCTTTTTATCTCTTCTCCCCACTTTTTAACTGGTTGCTTGCTTTTTTGCTGTGTTATGTGAACTCTTGGTAGATCTTCCAGTTCCTTATCAGTTGTATGGTGTGCAAATATTTTCTCCCTTTCAGTAGGGTGTTCTTAGTTTTCATTAGTATCTCTTTTGGTGTCAAAAGCTTTTTAGTTTGATGCAGTCCCAACTGTTTCCATCTCCTTCCTTTTTCTTGTTTCTGGAGGTGAATCCTCAAAGAAATGAGCTCCTTTTCCATGCTTGTAATGATTTGTCCTCAAACATGAGACAATAAACCTGGCCATTTAACAGACACTAAGCCTATTATTTCTGAGGTTTATGTCATGGAGTGTTTTGCCTATGTTTCTTCTACATACTTTATGGTTTCAGGTCTTACATCCAAGTCTTTTATCTATTCTGAGTTGGGTTTTGTGTATCGTGTGAGATAGTCTAGTTTCATTCTTTTGTGTGGGGTGGTCTAATTTTCTCAGCACCATTTACTGAAGAGGCTGCCCTTGTCCCAGTGTCTATTTTTTGTTCCTTTGTCATAGATTTGTTGACCATATATGAAATCACATCATTTCTAATGCCTACTCATGGCATTACAAATGATCAATTGTAATCTCTACTTGTACCTTTTCTAAAATGATCTTAATTGCTATGATAAATTCAGTAAGAGGCTCTTAGAAGCCGCAGGAGGGCCAGAGCACATGTGCACTAAAGATTAAGATACAAGAATCGTCTTTCTTTAAACCAGAGGGTTATCTCTTTTAGGAAACATCAGCCCAGGTAAGGGCCTAATCCCATAATTTAAAAATGAAACCTGAGTTCAGGAGAGACATCTACTAATTAAAAATCTGTGTCTGTGGACTCCTAGAAAAATCAGTATCATTCCAGCGTTGCCAAGATGCTTGAGGTAAGGATGAATAACACTGTTTTCAATAACACTCAAGGATCTTTATCTTCATAATGCCTTTAAATGACTGGGGGTGAACAGGACCAGGCTGTATGTTTTCGAATTAAAATTAAAATAAAATCTTTGATATCTTACCATAGAGAGTGGCCTCAGGCTTCCCCAAAGCTCATTGTTGCCAAGGGCAAATCTCTCTTTTTCCTTTTTGGAGGGGGCTTCAACATAAATTGCATCAGAAGGCTAGATCAGTGAAAGTTTTATGTTACATAGCAAAAGTCTCTGTGCTGAAGGTGGGGGTGGGTGAGAAGAACCACAGCTACCAGTGATGCATATTTCCCTGGACAATAAACCTGGCCACTCAACAGACGTTAAGCCTATTGTACCACAGACCCTGTTGCAGGTCTCACTGCCCTTCAGAGTGGAGCTTACTAACCAGTTTGTTCCTGATGTCCATGTCGCAGAGAGCTTCCGCAAGGATGGAGCAAGCCTCTTTCACTCCCCAGTGTGCTGCAGCATGGAGGGGAGTCCAGCCATCATGATCCTGCACGTTGAGCTCATAGCCAGCCTGAATTAAAAGCCTAAGGAGAAAACCCCAAACAAGACATTTACCTCCTCTATGTTACCATTTTCTGCCCAATAAACTACCACTGAATTGATAAGTCTGATCTTGGTCCTGAACCAGAGGGGTCCATGATGGCTTCTGCCCTCTAATCTACAGCTCAGGTGTCACAGCTATTACACTGAGAACTAATCACAGATAACATTGATCAACACTTGGTATCAATCCATTTGGTATGTCTAAGGCCCATTCATGCCACACTCTACAAGAGGGGTATATGGAAGATATGTACCTGAGATTAACCAAAGCCTTATTCAATTAGCCAAATCACAGCAGTCTACCATGAAGTGGGTTTTCCACTTTCAGTGCAGGGAGAAAGTAACATAAATCAGAGTTCAATTACTTTTAGAGAACTTAACTTACTAGCTTTCTATCTGGCCTTTCGAGGACACCATGTGCTTAAGATTCTCCTACCTCCAGCTTTTTAAAGTGTCTGTAGGGGCTCACTATAAAGCTATAATATGTGTTCATGGAAAAGGAAGGTGTGACTCGTGGGCCCCAAACTGCACTGGGACTGATTGAGGTTACCCTTCTCATGGACCTGCAGACACCTTCCAAGAGCATAAATGTTACTCTCAGGTAGAAATGCAGTACCAACATACTGCCACACCTACTAGAAACCCCAGGCTAGGTGGAGTACAAAGCATTGAAAATATCTGGCAACAACAACATGTCCAATGCTTTTAACAGCCCATGTGTTGGGGAAAACCTCCCAACATTAAACACCAAGAGCTACATAAAGCAAATACAGATGTAAGGAAAAACTGAAACAGGTGGAGTAGTAGAATACACACCCCTCACATAAGTTTGATTACGCTACTCGAGCTGGACACTGCACATTGGAGATCTTTATACTTAATCTAATGAGCCCAAAGAAATTATGCCCAAAGAGGACCAAAATAACCACAAGTCTGTCCAGTATCACATATCCTAAGATGAGGCGATGGCAGGGATATTAACGATGAACCATAGCTCTGAAAGCCATTACATGAGGTCACTGTGTAGACCAGTACGCCTCAGCCTTTCCACATTATCCATGTCAGTAACAAACTAGACGGTGGAAGGAGGCAGAGGACCCTTCTGTGCCTGAATAACCCAAAGTGTGAGAGAAGACTAAATGACCAGAGAGAAGACAGACAAAAAAAGAAGCACACTATAGCTGACAATATCATTCACCCTCTGCTTCCAACACCCAAGTCCCCTTCTGTGAGTCAGCCAAGCTCCGGGCGGGGAAGTGGGCAATACCTGAGCACCTCAGAGTAGCCCTTGGCAGCAGCCACGTGGAGTGCCGTGGCCCCAGAGCGAGCCTGTCTCACGTCCTCTATTTTTCCACTGTTGAGCCACTGGCGAGCATCCTGCAGCATCTGTCGCTCTTCTTCTTTTCTTGACTGTTCTAGGTCAACTCCTAAATAAAAAAAAATTTAAAAAAAATCAGATAACCAGCATTACTAAAAATCTACCTAAATCTGATAATATATTTTCCTGAGAGTCAAAATACACCAAAAATATAAGCACAAGAAAGCTTTAGTCTTCAAGCTGGGTATTCTTCAATGTATACTTCCTTTAGAAGAGCAATGGCATCTTTCCACATATTAAAACTCTTGTCAGCATTAAATTATAAAGTTAAATATTGCATGATGCAAGCCCAGTATGGTAACAGATATAAAACTGTTTTCAGTAGACCATAAAAAACAAAAGGGTATTCTTTTCATATATGTGCAAAGTCCTTTAAATGTTTTAACATTTTAATTTCCCAACAACCCTTTGAGGTATATAATGATAAACATTCTTAACAGATAAGAAAATAAACACAGAAAGATTAGGAATCTTGCTCAAGGACAGGAAACAGGCTAGAAGGATCACCAGAACTCAGACACCCTCGGGCCCTGTCTACACTCACTCCCTCTCACTATACCAACAAGGTAAGTAACATAAAACTTGGGTTCGAGTATGATATACTTTGAAAAATAAACTACCTCCAAGTTCACTTCATTTTGCAGGAAAATACCCTGACCTGCTGCTACAGAATCTAGGGCAGAGGAGTGGATGCTGTGCAGTTAGGCCTTCCGAGCAGATTTTGTTTCCCTTTAAAACAGTATGGGGCAAGTCCAAGCAGCTAACAAAAATCCCACATGTGGGTGAATGACAAGGGGCTGGGGTGGTGCATTCCTCACTATATAAAATGATGAAGCATGTGCTTTACTTACAATGGGAAAGGCATGGAGTCAACCCAAATGCCCAAAAGTAGATGCCTGGATTAAAAAGATATGGTCCATATACACAATGGAATATTACTCAGCAATCAAAAAAGATAAACTCATACCTTTTGCAGCAACATGGATGGAGCTGGGAGGGATCATGCTCAGTGAGATAAGTCAGAAAGAAAGAGAAAAATACTGGAGAGTTTCACTCATAGCAGGAGCATAAAGAACCAGGGGGAAACAATAATAATAATAATGAACAGCTATAGGCCAGAGACATTTTATGGGGGTAGAGTGGGGAGTGGGATCAAAACTGGGGGGTGGGGAGGGGATGTATGAGATGATGGTGATGGCACACTGGTGATTTGGTGATGGGAAGTCCACTGGGAACACAACTGAGATGGAAAAAGGCACAAAATGATGTAAAAATAAACTATTATAATAAAAAGAAAAAGAAAGAAAAGAAGCATTCCAACATAAACATACTCATTTAAAGAGTTTTATACTAACTAGCAGACTTTATCTGAGTTTGTCTGCTACCTTCCAGGTTATTTCTTAAGTGAGAACCAGTGAACTACCTAAAGATTATGTATTATGTGGGGAGATGGATGAGGTGGAGAGGTCAACAATTCATTTCATTTCTTTGCCCCCATAATTTTATTGAAATTTAAGTGGCAAGTAGTATTGTGTAAGCTAGAGGTATACAATTATATTTCATACATTTATCTAATGCAAACTGATTACACAGTAGGCTTAGTTAACACCTCATCACCTCACATAAATAGCATTTTTGAGTTATAATTGCATAGGAGTAGAACATATTAATATTTGTATGCACTGCAAAACAATCACCATGATCTACTCTTAGCAACAAATATGCAACACACTATTATTAACTACAGTCACTATGCTGTACATTACATACTCATGACTAATTATAGTCTTAGAAATTTGAGCCTTTTGACCCCTTCACTCATTTTGCCCACCCCTGCAACCTGTCTAGCAACCATCAGTCTGTTTTTTGTATCTATGAGTTTGGTTTTGGGATGCAGTTTTTTTTTTTAAGATTTATTTTTATTTATGCATGCATGCAAAAACTGGGGTGTAGACCATAGGTGTGGGGCGAGGGAGGTGAAAGGATTCACTAGAGACAGAGTAGAGAGCAGAACAGATGAATCTATTGAAATACACTACTGAGGGGAGGAGCAAATGAGACAGGAGAGGTCTGCTGAGCCATGTGGGTCACCTCCCTGGCAGGGCATCGAACTCATGCTGCAGTGGCTGTGGAGAGCTTGATAGCCCTGAGACTTTAAACCCTGTGCCACCAGAGAGGCTCCAGGTGTGTGTTTTTGTTTTGTTTTTCTTCTAGATTCCACATCCAGACAAGATCACATGGCATGTGTTTTTCTCAATCTGCCTTATTTCACTTAGGAAGATGCCCTCAAGGTCCATCCATATTGTTACACATAATACAATTTCCTTCTTTCTCATGGCAGAACAATATTTCACTATACATGTTCTGTATATATTAAACTAGTCATATAATAAAGTTACACACACACAAAAGCACCACGCACCTTCTTTATTCACTGATCCACAAACTGACATTGAAGTTGTTTCCATGTCTTGTTTATTATGAATAATAGTGCATTGAAAGGGGGACTGCAGGTAACTCTTAATCCTAATTTTATTTCCTTTGCATATAAACTCAGAGGTGGGGTTACTTGATCATACACAGTTCTATTTTAATTTTTTCAGGAACCCCCATACTGTGGTACAGTATGGCTACAGAAAGATCCCCTTTTCTCCACATCCTCCTCAACACATTTCATTTCTTGTCTTTGTGCTGAAAACGATTCTAATAGACACGAGGTGATAGCTCATTGTGGTTTTGATCTGTAGTTCCCTGATGACAGTGATATTGAGCATCTTTTCATGTATCACTTGGTTATCTGTATGCCTTCTTTGGAAAAATGTATATTCAAAGACTATCCTTTTTTTTTTTTTTTTTTTGTTTTTTTTGCTTAACTACTGAGATGTACGAGTTCCTTGTATTCTTTGAATGTTGACACCTTATGTCCTTTTCATTTTGTTATTATTTCTTTTGTTGTACAATTTTAACATTTAACATAGTCCACTTATTTATTTTTTGCTTTAATTGCTTGTACTTCTGATATTTTATCAAGAAAATCATTACCAGGAAAAATGTTAAAGAGCTTTTTTCTTAGAGTTTTCTCCTAAGGTTTTATAGTTTCAGTTCTTCTGTTTAAGTTTTAAGTCCATATCAAGTAAGCTTTTATGAATGATGTAAGATAGGAATCAAATTCCATTTTTCTTCAGGCTTTTATCCAGTTTTCCTCACCTTTCCCCACTGAATTATTTGTGGCCCCCTTATTCAAATGTTAGTTGACAGTGTATGAAAAGGTTTATTTCTGGCCTCTGTTTCTTCATTGGCCTAAGTATCCACTTTTATGCTAGTACTGTACTTTTTTTTTTTAAGTTTTACTTATTTATTCATACAGAACTGGGCTATAGGCCAGAGGTGCGGAGGGTGAGAGGATTCACCAGGAACAGAGTGGGGAGCAGAACAGGCAGATTGATGAAGTACACTGCTGAGGGGAGCAGCGGACAGGTCAGGAGAGGTCTGCCACGCCATGTCGTCACCTCCAGGGGAGGCGGGGATCGAACTCATGCTGAAGTGGCTTTAGCTTCTTAGAGCTGTGCTTTAACCCGCTGCACCACCAGGGAGGGCCGGATCAGTCAAATTTACACCAAATTGACCAAGTAAGTTCGCTGTCTTACATGGGCATGGTCCATGTGCCCCCAAACAATTACAAGTATAACACCAAAGATCGCTGATTACTGAAAACCACATAGGGATAATAAAAAAATAATGAAATATTGTGAGAACTACCAAACGGTGACATAGAAACCCAAAGCGATGTTTCCAATATGCTGTTGGAAAAATGGCATTGACAGACCTGCTCCACACAGGGTTGCCACAAACTTTCAATTTGTAAGAAAAAAAAAAAAAAGGAGAGGAAAAAATACAACATCTGTAAAGAGCAATAAAGCAAAGTACTTCCTGGGTTGATTTTTGTCATCTGCAATTATATGAGAGTCATTGATTAGTTCTAAAAGTGTTTTGGTGGAATCTTTAGGGTTTTTGTATAAAAGATCATATCATCTATAAACAGATGGTTTCACTTCTTCTACATTTAATGCCTTTTATTTCTTTTTCTCACTGAACTGCCCTGGCTGAACTTTCAGCAGCACGTTGAAAGAAAGTGGTGAGAGTGGCAGCCTGATCTTGCTCCTGATCTTGGAAAAGCTTTCAATTTCCACCGCTGACTATGACATTAACAGTGAGCTTGTCACATGTGGTCTTTATTACATTGAGGGGTGTTAATTCAATATCCAATATGCTGAGAATTTTTCTCGTGAGTGGATGTTATGTTTAGTCAAATGCTTTTTCTGCACCTATTGAGATGTGCTATGATATCTTTCATTCTATTAATGTGGTGTCACAGTGATAAGACTTCTATATATTAAGCCTCTTTGTTTCTCAAGAATAAATTCTATTTGATCATGGTGAATGATCCTTTTAATTTACTGTTGGATGGGTTTGCTAGTATTTTTCTAAAATGTCTATCTTTGTTCATAAAAGTAATTGGGACTGCACGGTAGGTCTTGGAGTGTCCTGATCTGGCCTTGCAGTGCCCTTATCAGGTAATAGTAGCCTCATACAGTGAGTTTAGGAATGTTCCACCCTCTTTAATTTTTCGAAGTGTTTTAGGATTGCTGTTAATTATTCTTTGAATATTTGGTATAATTCACCAAGGAAACAATCTGGTCCTGGATTTTACTTGTTTTACTTTTCAGATTTTCAATTTCTTCCTGATTCAGCCTTGGTAGGCTATATGTTTATAGGAACTTATCCATTCTTCTGTTTTCCAATTTGTTGACATATAATCATTCACAGTTTCTACTGACTCTTTGTATTTTCATGATATCAGCTGTAATCTCTCCTCCTTTATTACTGGTTTTATTTATCTGAGTCTTCTTAGTCTACCTGGAGGGTTATTATTTTATTTCTATTTCAAAAATCAGCTCCTTGTTTCACTAGTATTTTTCATTGCTTTTCTAGACTCTGTTTCATTTATTTCTGCTCGAATCTTTGTGTTTCCTTTCTTTCACTGACTTTAGGCTTAGTTTTCCCTCCCTACTTTTGATTCTAGCTCCTTAAAGTAAAAGGTAGGGAGGACAGACCTTCTGTAAAGAACCAGATAGGAAACATTTTCAGCTTTATGGCCTCTCAATCTGTCACAACAACTCAACTCGCTATTGCAGTGCAAACATAGCTTCAGGTCATGTGTAAACAATTGGACATGACCAGATGTGGCCCCAACCATTCTAAAGGACCATATCAGGAAGGCCACTGGAGTTAAATCCTTTAGAATAAACTGCAGATTGTGAGCAAGACAGTTTTGTAGGAAGACTGAAAATCACTAAAGCTCAGGGACACAAAGTTTTGTGATGAGTCTAGCATATTTCCTAAGACCTGCTCCCCCACCTAGCTAGTTATTTGCATTTTTAATTAAAAGAACACAGAGACCTCCAAGAGGAGACTCCTTCCCTATTGTCAAGAATAGATTCTTTGAAAAATATAAAATAAGTGGACCCTTCCTGGTGGCGCAGCCGGTTAAAGCACAGCACTAAGAAGCTAAAGCTACTTCAGCGTGAGTTTCATCCCCACCCCAGAGTGACCCACATGGCACGCAGACCTCAGCTGTATACTCCCTTGATCTGCTCCCACTCTGTCTCTGGTGAAGCCTCTCACTGCCCCTGCATCTCTGACCTGTGCCCCAGTTCTGTATGCATAAATAAATAAACCTTTAAATATATATATATATGTTTACACACACATACATATATATGTATATACATATATAATAAGTATTTTTAGATTTCGTTTTTTCTAAGTTAGCTTTCTTATCTTTTTTTTTTTTTTTAAGATTTTTATTTATTTATTC